TCCTTCGACGTTCTCCAAGCCGGCGACGCTGCGCCAGAGCTCGAGCACCTAGGGGACTGTTTGATCATATTTTGGGCGGTCGTGCCCGTCACGCACATGAAAAGGTCATTTGGTGACCATACGAACTTTGCGAGGTCAAATGATTTTCAGGTGTTTTCAAGAAATCTACTTTTAGCATCAAAAAGTAGATTCCGGCCCAGTATGTATGAGCCACTTCATCGACATTTGAGCCATTTGAGCCATCTTACAACCGAAACTTCAGGGTTTAGGGCAGTTCGGGTGTTTTAAGGTTCAGGTTCTGGGACTTTAGGGTGTTTAAGGAGTTCAAGGTTCAGGTTATACAGTTTAGGTGTTGAACCTTTGTAGGTGCGTCGGAGCCAGGGTCGGAGTGGGAGAGTTTAGCTTTGGAAGATTGGAAGATTTGGAGTCCTGCATACGTACTTAATGCAACGATGCAGACTTAAGTAGGCCGTACTTCCATATATTCTATTTTTGCTTGAATTGACTGATATTGCCTTTCTTGGTTGGAGTTTCAAAAAGCTTGAACACATCAGGTCAAAGTACAGCACCGGCTTGCTACCGGGTTGGCTTTCCTACACAGGAACTATCTTAACCTATCCTTTTACCTTAACACCAACCCTAACCTCGACGACGACGATCTTCGACCCTGCTCTACGGCGGCGGATGCCGCGGGCTGAGCTTTTTCATACGCATCCGCCCACACCTTCGGCAGTGCCAGTAACCACCTGTCCAGAATTCTTCGCTCTGCTGTTTGAGAGCTCGTCATCTTCAGCACCCTCATGAGTTTCTTCAGAGAATCTTCATCCATCCACGTAGAGTAATTAGCTGGATTCGTCCTGCTCGGGGGGGAACTTCGGAAGAGGTGGCCCAGAATATGAAACGTAGGTCGCATCCGAAAAAGTGGATCGCGAGACTGCAACATAGCATCTGCCATCAACCGGTAGCTCTTCATGAAAAGCTGCCCGAAAAACTCTTTGTTGCGTTGCTGCTCCACAGTCAGGTACCTAGACGCATTGTGCAGCATGGACATCACATGCGTGGCACACCAGACGGCAGTGCAAAGCTCCCTTGGCAGAAGCTCACGGTGGGCTTCACATAAAGTCTGTAGCCATTCCATCACCACAAATGTGTCATATCCTTTGCTCAGCAACTCAGGATAGGATGTTTTTGTCTTCATCCCCAATTTGCTCTTCGTAAGTTTGTGCAGCGTAAGAGGTAGCTTCCGTGACTTTGCAAAGGTTTTCAGCTTACGTGTTGCATCGGCAAGCCGGTCCGGTATGTTGTCACCCGAAAAGATTGGGCCCGATTGACCTTTCCGCTTCACGATATAAACTATCACGGAGGCTGCGAGGTCCCGCCCTGTTCCAAGGTGTCACGTATGTAGAAGATCTGCATGGACTTGTCGTAGGTGAAATCCAGAAAGAGACGTAAAGGCGGGGCTGAATTGCCACGGCGGGCTCTGATACATGGTCTCCCAATATGGTGCATCGGTGTTCACATTAGTGTACCCAAGGTGCAAAGTGTTGGCATCCAGGCCTTTGGTTGCACAGCACATCCAGCAGATCTGCAGGGCACTAGCGCAAATCACCACACTCCTAGGAAACCTGCTCATCCTCAGATTAGTTTGGATAACCAGAATATATCAACTTAACTAAGATAGCCCTAATAGCCCAACTTCATCGTATAGTACTTAAGATTCTATAGCTTGTGCCCTACCTCGTCGCGGTCTGCATATCTGTCAAAGTTGAACGCCTGCTTAAGGGCCTTCCAGTCGCCGCGGAAGGCCGTGACGAAGGCGTGCAAGCGGAGAACCTGGGGTTGGGGTTATATAGGGTTCATAGTCTATAGGGGGCCTTTAGGGATTTAGTTTTGCTTGCGATGGACAATAGATTACATAAGAAATTTGCCAAAGATTCTATATAAGTCACTTCATCACCACTAGCCGTATCCAGGATAGGCGTCCCGATTGTAGAAAGGCGATTGAAGCTCTCAGTAATGGCTTGGCAAGCAGTTTGGAGAGTCAAGTTGACACCGTTGTCGGGATGGATTATGTAGCGCTCTGCCGGGATGATGGTCATCAGCATTCTGGAACAGGCAGAATTCTTCAGATAGGGGGACAATTCGGAAGTCCACATCAAGAACATCCAGTTCGAATTGATGCACTTTGCTTCATCACCTTAAATGACTGATGTTCGAATTCATTTATTGTAGGCTTCACTTCCTAAGGTACACAGGGCACGTAAAGAACAGCAAAACCACTGTGGAAAACATCATTAAGACAAGACAAGTCGCAGTACAATGTACACCCAATCGAAGAATGCTTCAGCCCTGCTTCACTCGCCACCGGGTGCTGTGGATTGTCCGGCAAGAACTTGGACCAGAAGTGCGGGATGTCGTTGAGGTCAGAGACTAAGGTGTGCAAATGCCCCGTGTCCACGATAGCTTTGATCTGGGATGGACAAAATCAAGGTTGGACTACAGACTTAGGCAAACTACTTATTTCATGCGTAACGACAGGATTCGGTATGCTAAAGCTGATGAGGGACCATGTCATGCGGTAGAAGAAACGGCCACTCTTCATAAACCAGAGTTGGATCGTCGGCAGAAACTCTCAAGGGTAGCCGCACAGAGGTGGTCTTTGCAGGCAATGATATGTCCATAGCCCTAGCCCTGTTGTGCACATCAGGCTCCCTGATATTCCTCGGTGTTTTTCCGGACAATGGTTCAGTAATCTTAACCCTAAACCCTAAAACCCTAAACTAAGCCCTTAAGTTGGAGGCTAGGGTCCTGAGCAAGTCGCTATCATAAGCATCTCCGATACCACCAGCATTCCGGATGGAGGAGTAGCCACGGCCAATGTTCTCGGCGATCCTGATCGGACACGGTGTAGGGTTGGTTATTGGTTAGTCTAGGATTTAGGGTTTAGTCGGCCAGGGTTTATTTTATCGTCAAGATTCGCAGCATCCAGCCGAGATCTTCTGCTCGACTCGTCAACACCTGCGTAGGGGTACGGCATCACTACAATGTGTGAATATATTCTGGAGTAGTATAACCAACCCCAACATAGCTGCGACCCACTTTTCCGTTGTCTGGAGCACATCTATCCCCACGGTTGCAGGCTGCGAACGTGGCGCGTGTGCGACCCCAAGGCTGCATTGCTAGCGGGTGCAATAACAGTCGTATCCTTCAAAATCATCCAGGCCTAGGGCCAGGGGCACCGTCATGCCCGATCTAGGCCAGTACTCAGTTCGGGACTACATATCGGGTTTTAGAGTCTCCCTATGTTTGGAGGGATCAAGGTTAAGGGTTTCGAAAGGCTTCGGAAGTCATAAGATTGGGGATTCCGGGTTCAAGTTTTAGGCTTGGGGGTTTACAGTTTAGCTGAGGCTTTGTTGACATGATGGCTGACCGCTCCTTTAAGCCTTAAACCCTAAACCCTAAGCCTAGACCTTACACACTAAACCTTTGCTAAACCCTAAACCCCACACTTCGATAAAATTCACAGACATCCGGAACGATCCCCAAACAATGTTGCGTAGGATGTATGAAGTTGCTACTTTGTTAACGATGATAACATCCATAACAGAAGTTGAACTTAAGCCATCTCACATCAAATCTTGTCGAAAAAGCACAGCTTTCGAACCCGAGAGCCATCGTTCTAATTTCCAGGTATATGCACGACCTAGGCACCCCTTGGCCAGTGCTGGATGCGTCTGAACCCACAGCTAAAGGTCGGCTGCTCACGACTTCTCCTTGCGGGCCACGGCTCGTGCTTGAACACGGGTCAACTTGGCCATCTCCACCTAGGCCAAATTCAATGGGATTTGTGATTTGGGTTTTAGGCTTAATTGTAGGCATCATGCAATTCTGGATGTAGCCGGGGTGCTACTTGCTCGGCTGTGGCTAGGGCTTCCTTCTGATCCTCGTCTTTGTCTAGGTCCTCGAACTCCTTCAACCTGGATTTGGAAATGGTGTTAAGGTCATGATTATGCAAATTTACTGGTTCTGCCATATGCTTGCATCAAGTCTGCTAAGAACGGAACAGCTCAAGCTGCTCTTTCAGTTCAGCCTCATGCTTTTGCATCTTGAGTCGCAGCTCGTGCTTCTTCGGAAGGTCCAGGGCCACTGAAGCGGCACCGAGCTCCCGCTTCACTTCCTTACCTGGGATGCGTTACATCTAGGGTTTGGCTATAAAGGCTCAGGGTGAGGGACTACAAAGGCAGCTCAAGGATCGAGGATTGTCGAGAATTAAACATAATAACAGCCTAGGAACGGGCGTCTTCGGCGAGCTCTTTCAGGGTCTTCGGGGCACACTGGCGGGCTTTGGCTTTGGCTTTGGTCTTGGGGGTCGCCCGGCCTGTAGCACTCGAAACATTGCCTCGGATACAAGAACAGTCAAAGGTACCTTTGCATTCTAGACATGTATACTGCTATGTATCTCAAATATTCAATTGAGTAGCTCCCACACGTAGAATCCCTCGCTGATGCCATATCCCTCGCAAGCCTAATCGATTCATCCCTGGAAGTAGCCGAGGATGCCCGGATAGCTGCCATAACAGGATTGCCCAGCATGGCATCTGCCAGCTCGGGCGATGCCTGGAAACCAATCGTACTTCGGAGGCTGTGCTTCGTTGAGTCGGTTTCGGATTGGGTCATCTTTGTTTTCGTCCAGTACCGCGTGGATTCTGGGTCGTCCGGGCAATCTTCGTCAGGAACGGAGTTGTTCGGTTTCCGAACAGCCGCTTCAATCTTCGTCCTTAGATTTGCAAAGCTTAAAGCATCATGAGCATCTGTGGGTTTCGTGTGAAACTGAGTACCACACAAACTGAATTTTTTTGCAACCATCTCCCCGATAGTCAAGCATTCCCACTCTCGCTTTCCTTTCGTTTCTCTCTCGCGCTCAAGCACCATGATGTTTTCCGTCTTTCCAAAGTCTTTCTCGTTGGCGAGCCATCGGCGAAAAACCTTCAACTTCTCCTGAAATTTAACGGCTTATGCTGTCATACAAGGTTACTATACAGTGCACACACACACACAGAATTCTACCGGGTCCTCTTTGCTGCTGTCCCAAACGGCAGCGAGTTGGGGGAACTTTCTGGGTGCATCCTCAGACTCCATTCTCCTCCCAAACGCCATCCACTCCTTGCGGTGGGTGCTGCTCTTGGCATGGGCGAATTCCCCTAAGTCCACTTCGTTTGGGGCCTGTGAGGGCGGCGGGGTGATGGAAGGAGGGGTCTTTGCCGCTTTCGGGGCCGGCGTGACAATGGATTCTTTTTCGTTTTCCTCGTCCTCCTCGGCTTCCTCCTCCTCCCCTTCATCATAATCATCAGCTTCTTCATCACCCTTATCCTCCTGCTCCTCCTGGGAAGCGAGTTGTGCTTTTAGCTCCTCCTGGATTTCTTTGGCCTCCGGGTCAGCCTCGGCCCCTTTAGCACCCGGCCCAGGCGGCACAGCCGCCAGGGCTTTCTTCATCTGAGCATTTTGTGCCACAAGCTCTTGAAGCATGGTTGCCATCTGGCCCTTGCTCGCAGACTCCACCACCACTTGTGAGGCGGAGTCACTCATCCTTAACCAAAGAGGTTTCTGTGCACGTGTCACTGCCCAGCTGCTTGAAACTGTTGTGTGCAACAAAGTCACCCCTCAAGCAAATCAGCGATGTTCTCCTCATTGCTGGGCTGGGGCGAGGCAAGTCGGCCTGAGTCGGCCATCTTGTTCGTGATGTTGATGCCTCGAAGCAGAGTCCTGCAGGACCTGAGCGGTTGGAGTGTATGAGGTGGGGCCTTTAGGTGGGAGGGTGGGGGGGAAGGGGACAAGACTGCACAACCGATTCGAACCTGTAGTTGTTTAACTCGCTTCACGTAGCCATGTGGCATCAAGGAGTCCATGCGTTTCAGCTTGAAGGCTTCTTTGGGTTCCTTAGCTTCCTCATCTTGGAACTGTTTGTCCAAATTCTTCGGGGTCACCTGATCACACTGTGGATGTGTCGGCAGGATTGCGTTGCACACACAGCACGAAAGCGCGAATCTAATTTATGTGCACTGCAGTAAAATAAATGTGCAGTTAAGCGGATCACGTGGAGCGTCTCTGCGGATTTCTCTGCACTCTTAGAGTCGGATCCGGTAGGCGGAGTGGCTGGCTTGGTACGGGCTGCTTTTGGCTCTGGGTCGGGCTTGCTTTTTCGAAGGGCTGGTTTGGGGGGCGGCGGTGCTGGCTCATCTTCCTCCTCCTGCTCCTCCTCCTCATCTTCCATTGCCTCTCCATCCAAATCCTCCTCATCATCTCCCTGGTTTCCCTTCTCCTGCAAGCTCTCATCTTCCAGGATCGGGCCTGGGTGCCTTGCGCTACCCGAGGCCTCATCAGGGATGTTGCCCTTCAGTTCCTCCGGACAAGGACCCAGAGATTCGGTAAGACCTTGGGCCACGGTTGCTGGCGTCTCCGTCGGATGCACCGCGAGAACCTTTTTCACCACCTCCGAAAAGTTCTTCCAGCTCACCATGACACCCAACTCACTATCATAGAACTCCTCGACAGTCTCCTCCTCATCTTCCTTCACTGGAGCCTTCTTATTCTTCCCGGCTTTCGTGTCCTTGGGAGCAGCCTTCGCCTTGGCATCCTTCTTGGCCTTCGGTTGCCCAGCCTCCTCCTTGTCCTTGCGTGGACGACCTCCCTTGCTTTTGGGCTTGGCCTTTTCCTCGGGTTCCTTTTCCTCGGGTTCGGGGGCCTCCGGGGGTGCTGGCTTGGCTCGCTTTGCCTTCTTCGGCTGCTCTTGGGTGGCTTCGGGCTGCTTACTGGATTTCCGCTTCTTTTGGGGATCCTCGGCTGTTGCTGCTGCTGCTGCTGCTGCCTTTGCCTTTGGTTCTTCTTTCAGGGCTCCGGATGCTTGGAGGCTTTCCATCACCTTCTGGTACTCAGCAGCATGCTGAGGGCTCAGTTTTTTCTTTGGCGGCATGGCCGTGAAACAAAGCTTGAAGATCAAGCCTTCAGCCTGGAAAACCTTGATTTCACGTTTGCGAGCATCATGAGCATTGCAAGGTGTGCCAAATTGTGGAATTCGTGAATCACAGATTTCACGGCGTGGGGTGGTCAAGTAACAACCTTTCACGTTCAAGTAACGCTTTTTCACGCGATGCCCGCTGATTGTGATTTCACGACTCACAGCAGCTTACAGCACTGGAGCACAACATCATGATAATTATGCAGCTATGCTGAACCCCACAGCACTACAGCATGCGCCCAAAGGCACAGCTATGAATTTAGACACGGGCTACAGTAGCCCGATCTTCTGCAGGGTCCGATCCTTAGCTAGGTGCCATAGATATAGACAACGGTATTGCCCCTTACAGTCCTCATATCCCTGCGTGCCAGGTGTCCCAGAGGCCGGGCGGCTTCAAATGCTTCGAGTTGAGGTAGGCCATGACTCTCGGCATTTCGGCCTAAATTCACGCGTGAATTCTGATCTAGCTAATTAAGCTATATATGCCAAATATCGGAGCCAGGTAGCATCATCCCATATATCTCCGATTAAGTAGCCGTGCTCCGACATATAGTGTTGCAGAAATAGCTCGTAATCTGTCTTGCTGCCATCGACCGTGGGGGCCAGCTTAGAGTGAAAGGCTGCTTGGAAAGGCTCCTGCAACCGGGGATGGGCATTCACGTGAATTGTGGCTGCCGACGGGTGTGAAAGCCTAGGTTGCTCCTTTAAATTTAGGGGTTTCGGGTTCAGGGTTTAGGGTTGGTTAAGTATATACCTAATTAATTATATAAGCCCCGCTGAAAACACAACCCCACCTTATTTCCCAATTAAACACTCTGGTACAGCCTCAGGGTTGGCTCTGCTGTAGGATCTGGCTTCGGCTTCTCGCGATGCTTCGGAGTCACTTAGATTTAGGTTGGGTGTATATATATATATATAGAAGGTAATGGGCTCAGGAATTGGTTTGCACGTGAAGGACGTGAATTTTCAGGGTTGCGAGGTTGAGTCCAGAAAATGCATAGTATCCGACCCCGACCCTACAATTAACCTGAAGGAAAAGCCTGGAGCAAGCCCTAAATTCACGAAGAACATCGAAAGCCTTAAACAAATCGGCCTTAGCTGTCAGCCTAAAACCCAACCCCGTGAACTCTAATCCTAAGTCCTATATATATATATATATAAGTTAACCCTGAACGTACGTACTCATTCTAACCTCACCCTGAGGGCCCTATATAAAAGTAAACCAGAACTCGTCAGATAACCCACCTCTTTGAGCTTGAGAAAAAGATTCGTGAGGAACTCCCCGAACTCCTTTGTGTACTGCCTGGGCAGCAGAGGAGCGGTGACGAGTTTGGGAATGCATTTGCATACGACTCGATTTTTGAGACAGGCTTAAATTTGAGGACCGAGTGGCTGGGAGACTTTCAGTTGCTTTGGTTTACCCGTGTGCCGTTTCACACCGTTCTTGTCGGTATAGTGGGTTGCCAATCGATCCTTAAACAGGCTCATGGTCTCTCGGCTCATGGAGCCAGCCCTCTCCTGCACAGCCTCGATGAGGTTTTTGTCGTTCGACCAAAGCCTGTGCCGCTTGGGTGTGGGGCCGCTGAAATGGCCCATCCAAAAGCTGCCATTCCAAACCTGGGGCAAAGGGATAGGAGTCGTATATAAAAGATCGGGTACCTATATACTCGACATAACATATGATTCTCGGGCCTCAAAGGCTCGCCAAAGCTCTTGAAACCGTGGCATGTGCGGAAGGAAGCTACCATCTGGTTGCTCAATCACCCAGCGAAGCCCAAGGTACTGGGCTAGAATCACCAAAAGGGCAACTCGCGAGCTCAGTAAATTGCCCTGCAGCACGAACTCGAGACTTTGATTCCCGTACGGATGTAGGACACTTCGGCCTTGAGTATTTCTCGACCTGATGCAACGAGCGCCGAGTCGATCTAGATTGCAGCTACTCGTGACTATATCAAATCTTGACTCGTGCCAGGGAACATTAGAGTGAAGGATCGGCAGTCCAGAGCCATAACCACCAAGGCACCGGCTTTGCATCGCATCATCTCCAGCATAGCCAAACTAGGTTAAACAATCCACAGTGAAAAGCCCGAATCACAGAAGACTCTGACGATATTTGAGTAATCAAGGTTCCAAAACCCAGCCGGCTCCAGGAGATCCATCGCCTCTCGGTCGTACTCCCAGTCGACGGATGCTCCACGAAGGCACGCCTGGGCGGTGGTTGTTTCCGAATATCTGGAGAGGTTGAGGTTAGCCACGGCTGTTCCACAATACAGACTCAAAGCTTCGAGGTATGGGGCTCACATAGGCGAGGCTACATATATTTGTCGAGCTACCCTTCGAAGAGCACTGGATAACTCGCCTTTGCCAGCGAAGATTTCAAGAAAGTCGCGGTCCTCGCCATAGCAGAGTTGAACTGTATAGATGCGTTACATACTTCAGCTATCGGGGGATTAATCTTGGGTCCTTGGTCTTGGGGAGCTTGTCGTTGAAGATCAGAAGGAGAACCGATATCGTAAGGATGCCGGGTGCACCCACTCGCAAGAGCTCTGCTACCACCATCTCAACAAACTGCCGGTATCTAGACCTCTATAGCCACAGAAGCTCTCGACTGAAGATGCAAGTTTCACAAGCCAACAAAGCTGACTGACGATGGTTTGTCATAGCTCGGCTTTTCCGGTTGATGCAAGAACCTCGCTGGCAATCCGACGACAGGCTTCCTAAAGGCTTAGCACATATGGTTGCCATGGAATTCACACAGCATCCAAAATCACATAATTAAATTTCGACTCCCTGAAGGAGAAAACGCTTCAGCTAGCAGCCACCTAGGGCGGCCTTGATGAACGGATTCACCTGACAGCTCTTGTCCACAAACCTGCGTCTCTTAAGCTCGGGGAGCGGCATCATGCTGAGCAACTCAGCTCTCTCCCGGCTGTTCCTCCACATGGTCCTGGCCTCTGAAGGAGAGTGCCCCTTTGCTTTGGCTTCCTCTCTGAACAGCTTGGATCGTTCCAGAAAGTTCTGGGGGATGTAATCACCGTAGATGTGGTGAGGATTCGTTCCAGCATCCCTGGGCTTGCTCGCTTTGATAACCTTCTTGGGCTCATCTGGTTTCGATTCGGACTTGACGTTTCGGGATGGAAGCATTAATACCTTCTTCTTCTTCAGGTTGAACCGAAACCCTGTCGTGTGGGGCCGTGCAGAGGGCTGAACAGCTAGTCCATCGGGATGACCCTCATCTTTACCGGCACCGCCAACAGACTTGAAAGCCTTTGCATACTGTTCACGGATGGGGATGGGTCCAGGTGCCGAGGATGTTGAAGCCAAGCTGGCCAGAACCTGGGGCCCAAATAGTCTACACCCCAACATCTCTTATGGATGAAATATTGAACACTAAACATCCAAGCCTATATAAAGCAATCAAGCAACGTAGCTCGGAACAGTCTTTGGAGACTTCTCAGGCTTAGTGAACTTAAAGCCCGGGCTCTTTGGAGCTTCGTTGAACAACCGAACATCCGAAAGCTGCGCGCAAAGCCGGCTGATCGTAGAATCCTTGCTGGCGAGGCTGGCGGTCGAGATGGCCGAGCAATTCGATGACACCGTTGAGGATCCATTGGTCTCGTCCTCAGACGAGGAGCCATCGAGCTCGGCCGGGTTTGGCCCATCCTGGGAACAGAAATGTTTTCGGATCGTCGGTTATGTGAGATCTAAAGGTTGTGATTGTTTTGAAGCCGAATGTATGGTGTTTAAGTAGAGAAAGCAGGTTTATCGGGGTTCGGCCGCCTTTGTGGATGTCCAAGTATAGTTTGCTGCAGGAGAACAAAGTCCCTAGTAATCTAGATCACCTATGTATATATGAGACCTGTTCCTACTAGTTGTGTGTCCCCAATCCGACATTAATGAAACCTGTGAGAAGCTCCCTGCCCTCTTGCCAAAAGCTGAATCTTAGCTGTAAGCTAGCGAGAAGTTTTCTGGGATTTATTTCAACTTCGAGGTTGATGGTCAGACATTCAACAACCTAACCTAAGGCCGAGAGTCCAACCCTTCGATTTCCAACCCACAGATCCGGGTACGTATCTCGTTCAACTTCTTCATCTTGCTCTGAGAGGCTCGCTTCATCAAGCGACGCATGCGGCCAACCTGGGCCAATACTCATACGGGTACTGCACATATGCTGAGCATTAAATCTGATTCAATCGAGTAGCCAAGCGCTTAATTGCATCTCCCATGAGCAAACCCCAGTCTTGAATGCACTCCATTGCCGACGACATTCCACGAGGCCACAGCTGCTTAGAGTCATAGAAGCTGAGGATGGCTGCTCTGATGATGTATGCACTTGCTCGTCGTGTTCTGAAAACTGACATAGTTGCATAGATAACCTCAGGTTTTAGGAGTTTAGCCAAAAGCCCCTACAAACTCTGACATGAATATGTTTTAGGCCAGGGCTCATCACCGTTCCGCGACACATCCTTCAACGTACACTTCTTTCCTCTGAACAGCTTGCCGGAATGGTCGATAACGAAGTTAAACCCTGCCTTGGCTTTCCCAAATGATGCATGGGAACACAGAAATATAAGCCCCGACTTTAATCTGGGTTGCGTCGCAAAGGCTCTGCTGCTTCCCGAAAGCAGCAACCAGCTCTGCGACCAGGCCGGGTTCGATGAACGTCGGCATGGTTACCGGGGTAGCAAGGCTTTGACAGTAGCCACACAGTGTGTCCTGACTATAAACTTACATACTCGATAGGTTGCGAGGGATTGAAATTTGTGTAAACGGTAACCAATCCTTACATCATGTAGTCCGTCCCAGCTGAAGACAGGCTGCACAACTCGCAATGTAGGACAAAAAACCCATAATTAAAACACCAAACTCTGCCAGCCCCAAACCCCAAACCCTTTCAGGTGCAACCTAAATCCCAGTGAGAAGTCTGTCATAGTAGTTTCACAAAAAAACCTTACACACCCAACTCTTGACATGCCCCAACACTGCTTCAGCTAAGAGCTGTGGGCGGGGGCTGACCTCCGAAGCGAAGAGATTTATCTTGCCGGACAGCATGTAGAGCCTGGCGGGCCATGAAAATGTGAACAACCCTGTATCATTCCTAACATAATCGACACGTCAAGCGGAAAGGACCATCAGAACAAATCCAGGGAGGCGTACCATGAAAGAAGGATCTCGATCGCGAGTGCCACCGATCGCTCCAGCACCTGTCAAAGTTGTGTTACGATTCCATTGCCTAGCTGGGCTTGGAGCTACAATACATATACAAAGCGATATTGTTATTGTAAGGTTTCCAGCTTTTAAGTTGGGTATTTTCAGAGCTGGGTCCGTATAGGCCTATAACAGGAACGATCCAAGGTGTTCTAAATCTTGCAGTTCGGCAATATACTCGGCCACCCCAACCCTCAGGTCTAGCGCAAATGCTTTTATAAGCTCAAATTGCGGCTCTTCTATAAATAGCCCGGTATTTCCTGAGCCCAGTTCCTAAGCCCGAGCCCACACACCGTGCAGTAAAAATGACAAATAAACAAACAAAGCGCCCCAAAGTCCTCAAATTTAAACCCTTTCCCGGAAGCACCTCGCCCGCAGGATCCATTCCGATGGCCATGACGACGACAACCTCGCCTTTCCCTAACTATCTATCTGTCTATTCTGTACTGTGATATTTGTCTTTGGTGCGGATATTTTGAAAACACAATAGCAAGGTACACGTGCGGAACACATGTATACAAACACAGCCGCATATGATACAAAGTAGGCGAACACTTTCGTACACAGATATGCATGGCATGAGGGTGTGCATATCACGGTACAGGTACAGTGACTGAACATGCATGTATATTGTCCATGTACAATACGAACATGAATATATATAATATAATATATTGTTGCATATGTATATATATATATATGTGTACGTGTGTGTAATATGTTCGAAGCATGCGTATGTATGTGTGCAGAGATATGGCTGCATGTGTAGCATGAGAATACTTCATTGCATGGAAGCGGTACTATGGACTTGAGTATCTTTGAGTGCATACATGTCCGAAGATAAGAAGTACAGAGCTTCGAGTGTGTGTGTGTGTATGTATACGTATGGGTAACCTAAATGCATACATACATACATACATACATGCATACGTATGTAAATGAATATATATATATATACACACATATATGAAAACACATCTGTACGTAGACTTTACGTAGGTAGGTAGGAAGGAAGGAAGGTAGGTAGGTAGGTAGGTAGGTAGATAGGTGGGTAAGTCGGTAGTGGCATGTAGGGAGGCAGATGTTTAAGGTAGGTGGCTCGCTAAGTATATACAAAGGCATTTAGATGTAGGTATTTTCATACGAAGATGTCTATATGCATATATATATATATACTTATATGTTCATTCGATCGTAGGTATTTACAAAGATCAACATAGATATGCATACATATGTGTACATATATATATATATACATATGCACGTACACGTCCTGGAGCCTTTCCTGGCGCCAGAGGATGCTTGTTAAGGTGAAGATTCGGGGCTTAGGGGCGTGCACAGATTAGCACCCGACTTTCCTCAACAGATTTAGGATTGTACTGATTTTGGGACTTCGGGATAAGGTATCGTATATACACACCAGTACCCTAACTCAATTTGTTTGGGCTTCAGGACTCAAAGAGATTCTAGGGAATAAAAGCCGCACATGCTGGGTTGGTCGTTCCTAACATTATAAGAATAGTTTGGTGGAAGCCCCTAAACCTGATTTTTGCCATGACTTTCCCTCCAGAGAGGGTTTTGAGCCAGGTTGAGCCATTATAAGTAAATAATTTTCGAAGCCGCTGTTAAGTAAATTTGAGACATTTGAGCCGAAACTACACCAGCTGTACAACTCTCATCGAATTATGCGACATTGGAGTCTGTGTGAATTTCACGCCCCCCCTGTGAATTTCACGTCCCCTCCGTGAAATGCGATTTTGGTCATTTCACGCACATATGCCCTTTTCACGCACATATGCCCCAAAAACCAATGATCACCTAAATTGCGGTCAAACAGGCCCTCAGGCAGCAGCTGCCGTCTCGCCGCGTTGAGGTCCCGCGCCGCGCGCACCTGGGCATGTGCCGTCCTATGGATTTCCTGGCATGCGCAACCCACTGCCGAATCCCGCAGGAGACTACGGAGCCCGACCGCGT